TAGGGAACTGAAAGGAAGGCAGGAACTGGTTCTTGACGAATACTTGGTGATGGACAACCACAGGGACAGGAAGCAGGCAGGGAATTTGGTTGTTCTTGTTCTTCCCTTCCCTGGTGCCTGCCTAGGATGACAGGATCAGAGAACCAAGGAGTCAGAGACCCAAGACTCAGAAAATCTAAGAATCATCCATGAAGAAAATTCACAAAGCAAGCCTGACAAGGAAGAGGTGTGGGAAGGGAGAAGAGGGAAAGCAAGGATTCCTTCTCTCACTTGTAACGCCACCCAAAAAGCTTTCTATGTAAGCTTCTGTTGCAAAGTAGCTTACTGTGTATGGTTAACGATGAGAATTTACAGGTAGTAAAAACATTCCAGGGATCCTTTGTCCCCTGTGCCCACCTCTGTCCCTACTTTACTCAGAGAGACTCCCCCTCGGCTCCCTGCCTAGCCAAGCACTAACTTTGTTACTCACCAGGATTTACATGAAATGATTTACAGCCAGTCCAGTCCAGGTCTGAGTTCCTTGAATGCAGTTAAAACCATCCCATTCCTCCCTGGGGAACCTTCTGAAAGCTTCCTTTCAGGCTCTGACATAGCCAGTTAGCTGGGTCCCAGGGTGGCCAGATGAAAATACTTCCCCTGGGGACCCTGTGGGCTCTAGACCAACACAAGCAGAAATGGGTCTGGATACGGGCATGCTGGGAGCTAGTGATGGGTCCTGTTTGGAGGAGTAGGGCTTTTTTCTCCAACACTCCTCCTTGACCCTTTCCTCCCTTCCCTTAGATCCTCTGTGTGATGTCACCCTCTTCATGGCTCCCATCTTTTCCTGGTACTTGTGACTCACATATCTCTACCTATAGGCCAGATGCTGGCTCTGCAACCCAGACCCTTGTATCTAATAGCCTCTTCATCAGAGGGACCCCCAAATTTAACATGCTCCATATAAAATTCATTTCTCATCCCAATGTGTTTTCTTTTTTTTCTGAAGTCATGTTTGTTTTCATTCTTCTAAGAACAGCTTTATTGAGATATAAAATTCACTCTTTAAAAGTGCTTTTTAATATACTCACATGATTGTGCAATCATCACTATTGTTTTATTTCAGAACATTCAGAAACTATACCAGTCACTCTGCAGTCTACCCTTCTCTCAACCCTTGGAAACCACTAATCTACTTTCTGTCTCCATGGATTGCCTATTCTGGATATTTCATATATGTGGAATCATACGGTGGAATGGAATTACTTAACATGATGCTTTCAAGGTTCATCCACTGGCATGCATATGTACTTTATCCCTTTTTGTGGCTGAATACTATTACATCACATGAATATACTGTATAGCATTTACGCATCCATCATTTGATAGATGTTTGGGTTCCCACTTTTTTGCTATTATGAATAATGCTGCTATGAACAGTCACGTGGACAAACGTTTTCTTTTTCTAAATTAAAAAATGGAATTGAAAGTAAAAATGGTATATATTTATGGACATATGTTTTCAATTTTCCTGGGTATATACCTAGGAGTAAAATTTCTGAGTCATATGGTAACTCTATGTTTAACATTCTGAGCAACTGCCAAATTATTTTTCTAAAATTGCTATAACATTTTACATACCAGCAAAGTATGAGAGTTCTAATTTCTCCCCTTTCTTACCAGCACTTGTTATTGTCTCCTTTTTATTTTAGCCATTATAGTGAATGTGAAAGGGTATTTAATTGTGTTTTTGATTTGTGTTCCTCAAAGGCTATTGTTGAGTATGTTCCATGTTTTTTTTTTCTTTTTAATTCTTTTCATTTACCTTCTTTGAAGAGGTCAAATCCTTTGCCCATTTTTCTTTATAAATTTAATTTATTACTATTATTATTTTTAATTTGCTATCGGACATATACATTTACCAAAGAGAGACAGAGAGAGAAAGAGAAAGCAAGCTGCCATGTCTGGGACTTGAACCATGGTCAGTTATGTGGGAGTCTAGAACCTTAACAACCACACCACCTGCTGACCCCATCCTTTGCCCATTTTTAAATTGGGTTATTTATCCTTTTATTGTTAAGATGTAAATGTTCTTTATGTATTCTAGATACTAGACTTGGTTTTGTGGTTATTGTAAATAAGAGTTCTTTCTTCAATTCTGTCTCAGTTTGTCCATTGTTGGTGTATAAAATGTTATAGATTTTTGTATGTTGATTTCGTATCCTGCCACTTTACTATATTCAATTATCACTTCCAGGAGTTTTTTTGTGGCTCCTTTTGGATTTTCTATGTATAGCATCATATAGACTACAAATAGAGGCAATTTCATTTCTTTTTCTATTTGGATACCTTTTATTTGACTCTCTTATCTAATTGCATTGGCTAGAACTTCCAGTGCTACGTTAAAAAGGAGTAGAGATGGTGGGCAGCCTTGTCTTATTTCAGTTTTGAATGGAAAAGCTTGTGGCTTTTCCGCATCCAGTGTGATGTTAGTTATGGTTTTTTCATAGATGGCTTTTATTATGTTGAGGAATGTCTCTTCTAGGCCGATTTTGCTGAGTTTTAAGGGATGTTGTATTTTAGCAAATGCTTTTTCTGCATTGATTGATATAATCATGTGTTTTTAATCTTTCCTTTTGTTAATGTGATGTATTACATTTGTTGTTTTGCATACATTGAGCCTTGCAACTGGGAATAAAGCCTACT